GTGCATTGACATAAAATCACAAATATTTTCCTAAACTGTTAATTTTACCGAGTTGGACTAAGAAGGTATTATCGTTAGCAAATTCTTCAGGGAATTTATTTTTGATGACTGCAGATTGCGATCGTCATCTATGCAAAAATTGTGGTTTGTTAATCATTGGGCATCGTCCGTTTCTGGCGTTCTCGGCATAATGAAGTTTCAGTTACAAGATTAAAAACAAGCTATATGCAGGTGTTATCGATCACCAAATTTGCATCATGCTGCAGTTTAGAGACTGTAAATAAAAATAACTCTTTAATTTTCAGCTTTGAAGGCCCATAACTTGTTAGCGAAGGCCCGTATGAATAAAAATTTATGTGAAGAACTGATATTATTTTTTTACATCAAGTACCGGGACATCTTGTATAGTTGAAATTTGTGATTTTGTCAAGAATATCTAAGGAAGAATTATATCAATGGCATTTAATTATTTGCGTTATAAAAAGAAGTAAAAATGTTTGTACGTATATTGTATAGGTATACAAAGGATCCACTAGTAATATAATTCTTTGAGTGAACGTATCTCCATAATTACCTTATTTTCACCTATTAGTAATAAATAAAAATAATGAAAGGTTAAATGAAACTGAAAAATATATTCTAAAATATATACAGGTATTTGGGACACACTGTATAAAAGATTTTTGTTCCAATACTGTTTTTATATGAAAACATTGAAAAAAATGCCATTTTATTCGTGTATATTATGCGCAGAAATTTAATTATTCGTTTCAGTACCATCATTTTTCAGAAGATATCTAGAGATGTAACAGTTTTTTTTTGGAAAATCTCAATACTAGATGGTAGATTCTTATTATTTTTGTAAATATAGATGAAGGAGTTTAGTCAATGAGTTCAAGTTCAATTTTGAGCCACGTGCAAAAATATAAATTACAGTTCAGTCGGTCGGAAGGCGCGCGGTTTGAGGCGTCAGTACTTGAATCAGTGAATGGCTGTATTATGGGTTCGATCTCCGTTGCCGATAGGGAAATTAGGCACCTTCTCTGCGGTTATAGTAGAGTGGACGAACGATGGCTTGGGCCAATGTGAGAGATTGATACGCTTCGGCGTTTGACCATTCCCCCTAATAAATGGGATTTTCTAGGCTTCCCTCATTCCAGCACTGAATGGTGATTAAGCCTTACCAACGTTAAGTCGTTCGTGGGTGGAAATGTCGTATACTGAATAATAATATAACCCACGCGATTAGAACAGTGACAGAGAGGTCCAAGCATAGAATAGTTTTTAATGCCACCATCTACTAATAATGTGAACTTTATCTGTTCATTATTTCATGATTTGTTTGGCTAAAGGGATTCAAATACAATTAGTTTCATCTGCAACAAATGGGTACAAATGTACGTTGTGAATTTAATTTTTGATTGCTAATGCTTTCTGGTCCGTTTACATTTATTTTTCAATAAACCTTAAGTAATAACTATGTGTCTTACATCTAAAATAATCTAAACTATTGCAAAGAACCTGTAATATAAATTTGAGCTATTTTATATAAGTAGCCCAAAAGTATGGTCCTGTATAAACAAGTTTAAGTTTTAGTCCTGAAGTTCTGAATTGCGAAAATAGAACTTACAGTACTAGATAAAAATTTGAAACATTAAAAGGACCCAGATTTTTCCTGGAACAAAAAACTTAATAGCATTAAATTATTAAATATGTACTATGTATGTTTATATTTCCACATTTGACTGCTAACTTCCTCGCTAACATTGCATCGCATTATAGGTACAAAGGCAAGAACATAAAGTCATTACTACTAAACTACTTAAGTATTTTAATGTACTTCTACCATCAAGTATTATTTTTGGTGCGATAAATATAACGTATTACGCCTATTTAATTTATTTTTTATTTACTAAGGATCACCTAGGTACTAAGTTTTTCTGGTTTCTCCGAGCTTTAAAAGTTCGTTAATTTGTTACGTGGTAAGTCAAATCCAGGGTGTTCAGAAAAGTTTGTGGACTATTGGGGTAAATTAAATCTTTTCGATACAAAACCAAAGTTAATGGAATGAAATCATCTGTTTGTTCTCAGTATCTGATAAAACCGTATTAATAAATAAAAGTTTTACGTAAACATTTTTTGAAGTAATATTAATTAAGTGTTTTTTAAATCTAATTAGCATACAACATTAGTTGAAATTGTAAATAGAAAAGGTTGCAACCTTAGACCAGGAAAATAAGCTGGGAAATTACCATTTCGCGATTTCTTGTTTCAGCAAGCTGAATTTATCACTATAAATGCTAAATATTATGTACAATAACATATTAGTTTACAGTCATAAAAATGGGTTTACGGGCTGGTTAATTGTATAATTTTTACGTAAATTCACGTTTTTCGCTTATAACTTTTTTCCGTTCATTTCCACGAGAAAACAGTAAAGTACTTTTTTTTCGTCTTCAAAAGACCTGCAAAACTAGCCCTCGATCGTCAAAAAAATATTGATTAGATCAAAAGTTATATACAGAAGAAGCTTATTTATGACTTTTGCATTAAACATTTATAAACTGCGTTATTATTACCAGAACGATTTGGCATCGCATCCTCTCATTCCGTATCACTGTCTAATAACTCACACCAAATCTGGAATCGGTAAGTTGAATAGTTTACAAGTTATGGCCTTATAAACAAATTAACTTATTATAAGTCTGGACGATCCCGAGGATTTTCCACAATCGCACTGATTTTTACATGGTAAATTTCATAATAATACATTGAAATCTATAAATTTTTTTAAATTTCAAATTTACAACCTGGATTTTTTATTTTTAGCCTTAGTTGCAAAATGAAATATACGACGCACGAGCGTGATATAGTTATATATTATTACATATTCGGAAAGCTTATGAAAAGAGCTTTAAGTTAAAAAAAAAATTGTCAAGATTCGTTGAAAAACAACGGAGTTACAGACTGTCAAATATATTGTAAACTATTCAACTTACCGATTCCAGATTTCGTGTGAGTTATTGGACAGTGATAAGGAATGAGAGGAGGCGATGCCAAAACGTTCTGGCAATAATAACGCAGTTTATGAATGTTTAATTCAAAAGTCATAAATAAACTTCTGTTTATAACTTTTGGTCTAATCAATATTTTTTTATGCTCGAGGGCTAGTTTTGTAGGTCTTTTGAAGGCGAAAAAATAGTACTTTCCTGTTTTTTCGCGGAAATGAACGGAAAAAAGTTATAAGCGAAAAACGTGAATTTACGTAAATATTATACAATTAACCACCCTGTAAACAATCTTCCTCCAATTATTATGACTGTGGAAACTAATATGTTATTGTACATAATATTTAGCAGTCATAGTGATAAATTCAGCTTGCCGAAACAAAAAGTCGCGTCCAACTCTATATTTCCTGGCCTAACCTGTATTATGTGTGATGAACCAAGTTTAGTAATATCTATAAAAACACAACAAATTTTTACATACTTCCACGTTCATTTCAATGACTCTGAGTATACCAAAGTAAAACTAAAAACTAATTTTCTTTGAAAGAGGTAAAAGCTAAAGGCCGTTTCAGTTTTAAGGATTATTATATCATGTTTTATTTAATTGTGTCTGGTCAAAATTTCCAAGAATTATAATAGTTCTAATCATCTAGTCTAGACAATCTTTATTAAACTTAATTTAGTTATAAAAGACGTTAATGCATTTGTTGATCTGCTAATTTTACAACAATTAAGTTTTAACAGTCAGCAGACTTGTTCTCTATGGTTTCTTAACGAACTGATATTGCTGGATTTAAAATTATAACCGATAACTTCTTGTTACACCTTATAAATGTTTACAAGTCAGGCGACCGCCGAGTTTAGGCAACCCAACATTATACGACTGGTATTAATGATTCGTTTACAATGAACAGTAACAAACCGTCACGCCTACGCTCGAAATAATGCGATCGCTGATTGGTTGAACAGAATCTCGTGAAAAAATACACCAATCACAGCCGCTGAAACAGAACATTGTGTTTTAATGTAATCTACATTTTGTTTTAATAATTTTTAATTTTACTGAAATTTTATTGCCAACATGGAAGAAATAAAATCTGTATATTCTAGTGAAATATAATATTAAATGGTACAACTGATTCTGATTTTGAAGCACTACTCAAAAATATTTCCCGTGTGGAATGTTTTCATACAAAAAATATATTTATAATTGGAGGTCTTTCAATTCTACAATTTTAATTTCAAGTGTTGTTAAATTTTATGCAAATGTTAAATTTTACTCACAGTAAGTAAAATTATAGTGCTAACATTAATAACCGTACATTAGAATTAGTAATTTCTAATATTAACTGTCCAGTGATGAGATATGATTGTCCTCTTGTCGAAGAAGATGCCTACCATGTGTCGGATACAATCCCCAATGACAATCCCCAGTAAGTAGTGAATATATTCACAGCTTATTTAACATTGTAAAATTGAAAGTCCTACATATTTTTCTTTCATTAATGTTAGAATTTACAGGTATCCTACTAGAACTTCTTTAACCTTTTATCTTGAACTCGCTTCATCTAACTGCCAAATGAACTTTCCTCTTCATAGAATTTGTTCTAATTACAACATGGTACAACAAAATTATGACATATTTATTATGTAAACTGTTCAAAAATATTGTTAAATGGAGACATACCTACCTATCATTTGTGTTGTTTTATTTTTGTACCTATACATTCAATAATATGGCTTTGCCTGTTGAATATTAATTAAATATATAAATAGACAAACAAACAAAGAAATAAACAAAGAAACAAATAAATAATTAAATAAATAGCTCTAACCCGATACACAAAAAAAAATGTCAATGGAATAATGCATAATAATAAGTTTTACCAGGTAATTTATTGAATCAGTTGAAGCTGCTCAGATCCCCCTATATTTATTTGAAGCATTTGTCGTGATGCTAAAAAATAATAAAAATATTTTACAATTTTTTAGGTGTCATTCGGATCCACATCTCCTTCTTTAAGCGATAGAAACAAGTTCCCTCTATTCTTTCGCACGGTGGCTCCAGACACATCACATAATAGTGCCAAAATTCACTTCGTCAAGGAGTTCGGGTGGGAGGTGGTGGCCACGTTTAGTCAAAGCGAAAACGAATATTTGCTTCCCGTGAACCATCTGGTTACAGAGTTGGAGAAAGTTAATGTTACATGTATTTCCATGGTCACGTTTTCCTTGGATAACTATAAGGAGCAGCTAAGAGTTTTGAAAGTAAGTTGAAAATTTCAGATATTCTTCAGAGGGTTCATTTTTGTTTCAATTGATGGTATAAGCCAATAAATTACAAGAGTTTATGCTATGATTTGCTGTGTTTGCATTGTTGGCTATGACATAAGTATCTGACTTAAAATTTCATGCTGGTAAGTTTACTGATCTAAGGGTTGTGACGTTATCGAAATAATTTTTTCAAATTTCACACATATTTTACGTCATCTGAAAGTTTTTATTTTCCTCAAAAATATTAATAAACATTTTTTTCTACCTTACTAATTAAAAAATATAAAATGATATGTATTGAGAAAAACACTGGTTCTATAAATTCTTAAATATTCTTGATTTTACCAGCCTTGCCGTAGAAAAGAAGATCCTTTCAATGTTTATTTTCATTATTGACATACATCACTTGTTTATATAAAACCATATTGCTAATTTCGAATATTTTCGATATTCCTCCAAAAAAATCATAACTATTTTTTCATTGAGTATTCATTTTCTTAATAAATGTAGCAAATTTGCGCAACAGTAATGAATATATGTCAGTAATGAATATGAATATTAAGCGTCTTGTTTAAAACGGACAAAATCGTACGGGCATGATCTGCTAGAGATTCATTTCTCCATACTTACCATTTTATATGATTTGAAAGAGAGGAGATATGAACATTTTAATAGAAGTTGTTTGAAAAAAAAATGGGATTTGATAAAAAACATTTATTAAGTAGGGAAAAATAATTCCGATGTCACCATAGCACTTGGTGGTAAACTAAATGTAAAATGGAATTTTATGTCAAATGCTTGATACTAAAAAGATGGTCCTTGCGGGTTCCTTCATACAGTTTCGTTTTCCTATAATGGAGACCAGACCATCAGATTTGGGTTATCTTGTACATGGTGTTTACAGCCACACAGAAAAAAAAAGTTGGGTATACTTTTTATGCGACATATATTTTTCGTAGTAATTTGGCCTCCTGAACACGAATCTGGGGCCAGAATTGGCCCATCACGTCACAATTTTTTCCTAACCTCAAAAAACTTGTGAAAAATAGGGAAAATTGATGAAAATTTACTGGGAAAATTTGGAAAAAAA